CGCAGCAAGTGTATCGAGGTGGCGGATCACATTCGCAAACGCAGGGAAATGTGCTATCGCTCGGTGAACAACAGTCTGGTGCTGATTGACGGGCACGCAGAGACGGCGCAGGAGAGACTGCTCCTCAAGGCGAAGCCCCTTCTCAAAGAGCTGGACTGGAGTGAGGGCGACAAGGCCGCCTGGGAGGAGATGGTCGACGCGAAGCAGACTGAGGCCAGTGCCGATGAGGATGATGAGTACTTCGAGGAATCTCAAATCTGCACAAACAAAATCTTTGAAGCAGTGTTCGATGAGGCGGATGGTGGCTCACTGGTCCTTGAGCCTGTTGCCCGGTACTGGGGTCGTAGACCGGTGCACCAGCTACTGCAGCCAGAGTCGGCATTTGTCTTTGACTTTTGCTTTGAAGTGTACGTCTGGCTGGGAAAGTACGCCTCTAATACGTTGCGACAAAAGGCAGTCGATGCAGCAAAAGATCTCTTTCTTCAGGGCTATGATTACTCAAATATTGACATTAGCTTCTTTGGCGTTGACATGGCAGTCAAGTCGGACAAGCGTCCAGACTGGGCTTGGTTCACCCGAGTTCACCAAAACATGGAGCCCATTCTCTTCAAGGACAAGTTCTCCAATTGGCCTGCATTCACACTGACCCGCTCTGTGAAAACCAAGTCTCAGCGTACGGCTTTAAAATGTGATTCAACCAAAGACATTCAGGGTGTGAAGAAGGGCCTTTCTGAGGAGTTGAAACTGTTTCCGGCTGATGTTGAGCAGATGATTAACAGGCAAGTTCTGCCGGAGTTTCAGCTGGAAGGCATCACCGAGGAAGGAGATTTCAAAGTGCTCACCATTGATATGCAATGCCTCTACATCAACGACTCGGGAGAGCTGACTGAACTGGATGGCAACTCTCTCTACACTGGCGAATCGTACTGTATTCGGTGGAAGTATCGAATCAATCGAATCACGCGCTCACTCACCGGTGGCGAATCAAAGTATTCGGATGCTCATGGAGGACGAGACAGGTTGCTCTACTTTCTGTGGGTTGGGCGGAACGCAAGGGCACTTGATTCGTGCACCACTGCCCTCCACGCCGTGGAAAAGGTTCGCGAAGAGGGAGCTGATCAGGTAGGTGTTGTTGAGTGGACATTTCCGTTGTCAAGTGCTTATCTTTAACTTTTGCTCATCCTTTTTCAGATGATGATTGAAAACGGCAAAGAGTTTCCCGCCTTTTTGCGCATCTTTGATGGCAGTCTGGTGATTTTGCTTGGAAAACGTATTCAAGGGTCCACTGAACAGAAGTATCGAATGTTTTCACTGAAAAGCGTCAAAACGGACGAAATGTTTCTCAGCGAAGTGGAGTGTTCATCACGCAACTTGCGAAGTCGATCCTCTTTCCTCTTTACCAATGTTTCCAGCTCTAAAGTGATTTACATTTGGCATGGCTGTAAAGCTCCGCCAGCTTTGCGCAAGCTGATCAGACAATTTTTGGAAGAGAAACTGCTTGCCTCTAAGCCCACTGAGTTTGGCTTCACCAAACGCATTGGCCAATTTGATGTGGTCGAGTTGGAAGAGGGCAAAGAGAGCAAAGAGTTTATCAATCTACTAAACGGCTCTGTGGAGACTTCTAGTCCGAAGCGAACATCCCGACTAAACCTTCAACGTGATATTTACTTTTCCTTGCTGGACGACGACCGCCCGTACGACTTTACCCCTCGTCTCTTTCACTTCACCACCTCTGCATCGAGGGTCTTTCAGGCCACTGAAGTTGTGCCCTCTTACATGCCTAATCGAGAGAGCACCACCTTCCTCGACTACCCGTTCACCCAGGAAGACCTGTACCTCAGTGCCTCGACAAAACCGACCTTTTTCCTGTTGGATAACCACTACGAAGTGTACCTGTGGGAGTCCAAGTTTCCCTTTTACATCCCCGGTTTGTGCAGTAGTGCTGACAAGCTTCAAGTCAAAAAGACGGAAACGAAAACTTCAGCAAAACCGAGCATGATTGACATTGAGACGGAGATTCTCTCCGAAGTGAACCTCACCACAGGCTCACTTGCTCAGCTTTGGTTAGCTGAGAGAAAGTGCGCCCTCGAGACGACACTCGCCTACTGTCACGGTAAGTTTAGCGACCATCAATTCTGTTTGACCTCTTTCATTACTATTTATCGTCTCATGTAGCGAAAAACTCGTCTGAACCCCCAACTGCGTACGTCATCTCTGCCGGTCTGGAGCCTCACTCCTTCTGTGGTCTCTTCCCAACATGGAACTACTACGAAAATGTGGCACAACTTCACATTGACGTAAGTGGGATGACACCTTGTTGCTGTGCAAGCTAATAAGTTCTCTCTACCCTACAGGACGGTCGCAAACCTGGTCAGCAGATTTTAGTGCAGGAAGTACTCGCTGAGCTGAGAGACATTCACACTGCTTCGTACAGCTATGAAGTACTGAAGAAGAAGCCTCTGCCTGAGGGCATCAACACCCTCTGCCTTGAGTCATACCTTGATGACGCCGAGTTTGAGGTACGTAGCAGTCTTTCCTATTAGAACATTTCAATTTTTCATTTCAATTTTTTACTTTTTTTTGCAGAAAGTTTTTGGTTTTAATCGTGAGGAGTTTTATGCGCTACCCGCCTGGAAAATTTTGACTCTCAAAAAAGAAAAGGAATTATTTTAACCAAAGTGTAGATGTGTTATCAATG